CCGGCCACTCCTGGGAAGGTTCACCACTGTTCCATGTTTTCGCCATTTGTGGATAATGGCTCTCACTGTGGTTCGCTGGAGTCCCAAAGCTTTAGAAATGGCTTTGTAACCTTGTCCAGACTGATAGATCTCAATTACTTTGTTTCTCATTTGTTCCTGAATTACTTTGGATCGCAGCATGATGTCTAGCTTTTGAGGATCTTTTGGTCTACCTCACTTTGTTAGGCAGGTCCTATTTAAGTGATTTCTTGATTGAGAACAGGTGTGGCAGTAATCAGGCCTGGGTGTAGCTAGAGAAATTGAACTCAGCTTTCCAAAGATGTGATAAACCAGTTAATTTATGTTTTAACAGGGGGGGGGGCAATCACTTTTTCACACAGGGCCATGTAGGTTTGGATTTTTTTTCCCCCTTAATCATAAAAACCTTCATTTAAAAACTGCATTTTGTGTTTACTTGTGTTATCTTTGTCTAATATTTAAATTTGTTTGATGATCTGAAACATTTAAGTGTGACAAACATGCAAAAAAATAAGAAATCAGGAAGGGGGCAAACACTTTTTCACACAACTGTGTATATATATATATATATATATATATATATTTTTTTTAATGATATACTACAATAGCACTTTTTACAACATACTTAACTTACTTTTTAAAACTAACTACACTGACATGATTTACATTAATTTATATAATGTAAAACGATTTTGTAACGTTTTCTCTAATGTACTACGATGACTACACTGACTATTTGGACAAACAATGACTTTATATATTTTTGACGTGTGGTATAGTTCTTCAAAATGCTTAAGTAAAATTTCTTATGACTTTTTTTGACATGCTATACTAGGGTCATACTATTGTATGGATGAATCACTTTTTTGACCCGATATACAATATTATCCAACTTTTTTCGACATTTCATATTGCTAATTATTTTGACGTACTATACTATTACTTTTTTCAACATAAAATACTACGATTTTTCTATGATTGTTTTTTGATATATTATACTGTAACTTTTTTCCAAAAGGCAATGCTATGACTTTAGTCGACATGCTATACTATGAATTTATCATGACTATTTACAACATGGAATACTATAGACTTTTGTATGAATTTGATCATCATGCTATACTATGATTTTTTTATGACTTTATTTGTGCTTTACTATGACTTTTTCATGACTTTTTTCGACATGCTATACTATTGACTTCATTCATAATTCAGTATGTCATGACAATTTTATAAAAAAACAATTTTCCCTGACAAAAGTCATGCAGTCGCTTGCCTCCAGATCCGACCCACCTTCGTCACGTGTCTCCAGAGGGGGCTCCTCCCCATCTTCGTCCTTCTGAGGGATGCAATCTTGGTCGCTAACCTCTAGGCTGGCCACCAGACCGGGGCCAACCTCCAGAGTGGTCCTGCCTTCATCTGTGACCGCAAGGTTGTCAACAGGAGCAACTCTGCCCACCCGCATGCTATTCCTCCTGCCAGTCCTCCAGGGGGCTTGCGGCATCTTTTTGGATTTTGGTTTCTAGGTATTTCTGTGACAATCGATTAGTGTATCCCGTTTCATTTTGTGTGATTAGCCTGCTTTGTGATTTTGGAGTTATAAAAGGGGGTGATGTGGCAAGGCTAAACTGGTAATAGAAATTCTCAAGAATGCAGTAATTTAATAGTTTGACGCTCAAAATTTTCTGGGGAAGAAATAAAAAAATTAATAATTTTTTTATTATTGGTACTATAGCCATATTGTTATGCTAAAACTTCTGGACTTTTACCTCAGTAACATTTTGAATGCATGACTTACCTGTAACTAAATATTTTTACACAGTGGGGCTTTTTTTTTAAACTTTTGTAACTGAAGGAAAACAGAGTACTTCTTCCACCACTGCACATTTGTCATATAGACTTGAGTGCTAATATATCAACGTTATGTTCAGTTTGTTTCTGCTGCCCCCGAGTGGCAAACTGTGTTATTGCAGGATTAATAACATCTACATCTGCAGACGTTTTTGAACAGTCGTGGAAGACAACTTTATTTATCATTTACATTTATAACTTCAGTCACTGAGTAAGTTAAGTCATCAAGATGAATAACTGAGCTAATGAAAAATGACAAAGCAAGATATACTAGAGGAAGATGAACACTAGCCAAAGGGACGTTTCCAAACTGGTAAGCATTGTTCCCATTAATTGGTTATTACTGATCTGTGAAGCATGACTTATTAATCATGAATAAAGCCATATGATATGATATATGATAATACAGTATGCTTGATTAGAGAATTGTATCCCTTCTGCAATAGAAAATATAAGCACTGGTGCTCAGTGGTCAAGCATAAATATTATTTGGCAGGTGCCAGCTGGTGAACCAAAAAGCTCAGTAATACAATGGTGTGCCGAACACAGTGAAGTGACTTTAAGGTGCAACTTAATGCATGACACATTAACATGAGATGACCTCTCATTTACTTTTCTGTGTTCTTCTTCTCCCCACCTCCGTAGCCACTGATCCTACAGTGGCTCCCATGATGCCCCCGTACGGCCCTCCCACAAACAGGCCGACCAGTGCTCCCAGCAGGGCCTCCCTTCTCAGCATTTTGGGCAGCCACCTCATCCAGCCTGTCAGCTTCTCCCACAAGCCCCAGAGAAAAGAGGGAGCAGAGGAGGCAGGTGACGAGGGGAAAATACTATCCACATCCACATCCAAGTCACCTACGCTCCTCTCTGCCTCTTCCCGGACCGCCTCCATTTCTTCTTCTGTGACGTTTTCCTCCGGTCGTGAGTCCGTGGGAGCCACCTGGTCCCCTCCTCTCCTCCGTCTCACGATCTCTACCTGCCTCTCTCTCACTCTTTCCTCAGCCTCCTGGTACAGAGGACAGCTGCAGTGTTGCGTCCCGCTCACACTCACCGCCTGCTCGACCTTCTCCAGCAGCTCCTCAACGGCGTTCCCCTCCTCTGCTTCTCCACTGCGGGTCTCCAGTGTGTGGTAGCGTTCACCGCATCTTTCCACCAGCTCCCGGAGGTCCTTGCGCCACGTGGCGAGGTACGCCTCCAGCTGCTCGTCCTCCTCCAGCTCCTCGGTGTGGGTGAAGAGCACAATGGTGTTTGCGCTGACTGCAGAAGGGCCGAATAGCTTCTCCAGGACGTCCAGCGCATTGGCCTCTCCGTCGGCTGGCTGGTTCACAGGGACACACAGCAGGAAGACATGCGGCCCGGGGCTGGACAAGGCGATGAAGGAGGATGTGTGTCTCCTCCTTTCCTCGGGGTCGCAGCCTGAGCCAAACCAGGCCGGACTGGAGACGACCGCCACCTACCGAGAGGTGGCAGAAGCATAAAATCCAGGTAAAAAAAAAGCGCATTAATGCTACAAATTGATATTTCACTGTAACAAAATGAAACAGAGGAAATTAAGAGAAGTAATATAGAATTGGAGGAAGAGTTTATGGAAAGCAGGAGAGAAAATATTAGCATCTACATTTGCATGTTTGTATGCAGGTATGTATATGTACCATATCTGCATGCAGATGTATTCATTTACATATAGGATTATAATTTACTTGATATGATCTTGCATAGCCTACAAATGCATCATCTATTCATAACATTTACATTAAAAAAATATAAGGGAGTAATTGGCAACTCTTGTTCTGAGTTCCCTCTGTTGCTTATAATCAGAGATGTGAGTGTTAAAGGGGTCAAACTAACGTGTCACTATAATGACAATAAGTCTCCAAACTTCGTATGTTGCCGTTATACTTCCCCCTCTCCGCTGCAGTGTGGTGTACTGCGTGTATTTCACTCCTACCTGTCTACCTGCAGCCTCTCCTCGGTGTTTGCTGCACTCCTGCACGGCGGCAGCATCTGCGCCCTGTTGAGGAGGCTCGTGCAGGCCCAGAATGCTGCTGACGGCCGATCTTTTTCCGGCCCCGGTCCGGCCCAGCACCACCAGCCTCAGCTCGGCTGCTCAGCGCCGACAACAAGGGCGGAGACACACGGCAGTGGAAAAACCACATCATGGTCCAGTCTACTGTATATGGTTTATTTTTAAACATATGTTTATATGTTGGCCAGAGACTACACAAGTTTTTCAAAAGTAGAGGCAGCATTTTATGACAATATAATTATTTGAATTCTTACATCCTCCTTCTAAAAGTGCCAGACTATCTGTTGTTTATGAAGTCAGCTGTGTTAAATGATGTCATGGCATTTAACCGTTACCGTTTTCGCATTTCTACGAAGTGGCAGCGCCCTTTGTAACTGTCGTGTCTCTTCTCAAACCGCACAAATACCGTAAACAGTCCACCGGGAGCCGCTCCCTCCTCACTTTTCTCCCGTTGTGTCGCACAGATACTGATCTTACGATACACGGAGATACAACAGTGCTCAGCCTACCTGACTGTGCGGCAGATGTTGACATGTCTGCGCTCGTTCACCGCCGTGTTATGCGCTGAATCTGGGATGATCGCACTTCCTCGTTCCTGTGATACTGCTGGACTCAACTTGACTGACTTCGGCGCCGGAGGGGGGCACAGCTCCATCTGTTGTGGTGCCTGGCGTAGCAGGGCGTCTCAAACCGGGGCCCGCGGACCTGCCCGGGGTCCGTTACCGTTTTCGTAGCATTTCAGCTCACAAACTTATAAAAGCCCCTTTAAAAAGTATTCACCCCCTGGACTTCATTTATTATTACTTCCATGGTTTAATGCAAATAGGCAAGTATATTATTAATGATTTAGCTGTAAAGCCCTGATCAACCTTGTATGTTATTTAATAAAGTAATTACTTAAGAGTCTACATGCTAGCAGCTGTTAGCTTTACTTGGGCACAGTAGTGCTTTACGAGCTAAATGCTAACAGCGGCATGCTCACAATCACAATGCTATCCCTGCTAATGTTCAGGGTATGATGTGTACCATGGTAGTTTAGCATGTTGATAGTTGATAATTAGCCTCAGAGAACAGCTGGGTCTGATGGGAATGTCATTATAATTCATCCTGAAAGAGAGCATTGACATCTGTACCTGTTCTCAAGACGATTCACTAAAAAACAAACAAATGTCAACCTCGTGGTGGAGCTTAATTAAATTATATTCATTAGGATTCATCCTCTGGCCACCATGAAATTTCGTGCAAATGTGTCGAGAAGGTTGTTGAGGTATTTTTGAACCAACCTACCAACATTGCCGTCCCCAGAGCCGAGCCGCAAGCATGGCTAATGAAAACAAACCAAGCAGAAGCTGATTTTGGAAACAGTTTTAATGTTGCCATTTTTGTTAAATGTCTGACATTGAACAGCTCCTGATTTAAAACAAGGTTGCACCGTAAGGTGTTTTATTCTATCACTTTTCTACAGAGCAGTCAAAATGGAAATGCTGTATGCACATTAAAATATCAAATGTATAAAACATCATGGTATGACAGCATTGTTTACATGGTAAAAGAAAAACAGGAGCAGCTGTCAAATATATTATGTTGATCGTGACCAAATTACTTACATGTTCCTGTACTTTTAAGTAAAAAAAAAAACACTCAACAGCATACACTCACTACATTACATACACTCTGTACACTGTACAGTAACAATAAAACTAAGCTGACATGCCAAGAAAGATCAACGTGTTCAGTAAAATGTTTCATTTAAAAATATAACAATTAGAAAAAAATTAAGAGAACAGGGTTTTTAAAAAAATACACTTTAAAAACGTTGACGCTAGAAATATCCATGTTTTCAGATGCCGAGCAAGTGGCTTAAATTAAAGTCCAAAGGTCCCTCCTGTTCAGGACCCCTCCAGTCACATCTGCTGACTTCTGATGCCAAGTCACTGAACCTCGAGTATCATCCTTTACTCACAGCCCAGGCATGATGTAGGCAATATTGTCCAACGTATTCGACTGCCAGAAAGGGAGAGAGAGCTTTGTTAGGAAAATGCACACGACCGCTGCCAAGTGTACAACTGAATGTATATCAAACTAAAATCAGGCTGAAAGCACCCGCAGTAGTTTAATTCATACAACATTTACAAACGCTAATACTTTACCAGGACGTTCCGAGGACATCCGTTTAACTGTGGTATCTGTGCGGTGAGACAGTTCAGAGGTCCCAGCGCACACAAGATGGAGTCCAGAAGAACAGACAGACTCCCGGACACTGCCACCATCCCCTGACACGAAGAAACATCAGTCACATGACCCACTTATTCCACTGCATACTAGTAACGACACATCTCCAGGGGGTGAAAGGAGCCTGTTTTTTTTATGCTGTTTGTGTTTTCGTACCGGCATTATGCTTCATTTTCAATAACACTGTCAGGTAGGGCCTTTGTGTTGCATTCACGTGGTGTCGTAATGAGTTCGCAAATGTAAAAGTTCACATGAATGCCCCCTCAAGTTGGAACAACAACTTTAAAAAAAGCGAATGTGTTTAAGCAATAAAATACAACACATCTTCCATGTTTCCATATTACGACTACGATGAAAACACAGAAGAAATGGGACTACCCGAGGAGCACCTGAACGCACCACTGTCAGCGCTCTCCGAGTGCCATTCTAGTTTTCTTATGAATAGCTTCTAAATTATTCACAGCACAGGCTTGCAGGCTTTCAATCCATCCTTGCTGCCTCTCCAAAAAGATGATGTCAAGTGTTTCTTTCCACACCAAACAGCTGCAGACTTCAAGCTACTTTCACCCCTAAACATCTTGTTAACGCCTCAAATAAAAAACGTGGAGCTTCTTTCTTGTTATGTCTACTTTTGATATCTATTAATCTGCTTTAGAGGTTATAGGTTACATCCACTGCAGATTAGCCTGTAAATGCAGTGTGTGCCCGCCTGCATGTGGAAACTCACCTCTGTTTCTTGTAGCCGATGCCCAATCAGGGACAGGGACTCTCCCAGTAGCTGCAGGTGAGCTGCTGCATCGATGGGATCGACCTCTGGGACTCGTGCCGGGGATAGTGACATAGTGCCAGATGCTCTGCTGGGTGACACCATCCCTGTGACCGCTCCTACAGCTTCCATGACCCAACACAAACACAAACCGTAAAGAGAACAGACGGCGAGAGGACAAAAAGTTGTGAAATTATAAAACGTATTAATCATCATCGATCGGTTGAGTTAAAGTCGACGATACCTTTGCTTTTGCCCTCGTTGACACTCTTGTGTTTGACTGTGGTGGCCTCGGCTTTGTTCTGCTTGTGCTGCAGATACTGAGCTTTCTGCCTCCAAACCTGCACAGGACACACAGAGCGACACGCTACATTTAGTGCACTGCAAGCGTGAGAGCGATGTTCAAAGTTCTTTTCCCATATCAAGTACAAATAAGGACTAAAACGTACCAGTTTGTCTTTCTCTGGCATCGCCTTCCACACCTCTGCCAACCTTTTGCTTAGCTCACCAAAGACTGCAGATTAGAGAAACATATAGTTTAAAATGTGTATTTTAGTGATATTTCAGAGGCCGATCGCTGTCATAACATATACTGGATGTCATAACATCACCCACCTAGTCCGGGCTGTTCTGCATTTATGTTGACCCTGTACTCCTTACAAAACACCTGATACGCTGTTGTGTTCTTCTTCTTGGGCTAAGAGAGGACAAAGAAATTAACTGATGATTAACAAACGCAGAAGGAAAAAAAAGCATTGTTTTTCATATTAGTGTGTTAAAAATAAAAAGGCAGCTGTTAGCTCGCTTGTAAATTGGTCAAAGTGAGTTTTGCGTAGTCAGCAATTCCAAATGATGTTGACAGATGTGGGTCTTACAGAAGCCCAGAAGAAGTATCTGCAGGAGGTCCCGCACGGTTGTTGATTTCATCACTTGAGATTTTTGGCATTCAAAGCTAAATTTTCTACTACCGATCCAACAACAAACGTCCCTGAACAGTTTCCTACCTTATCTTTTTCCTTCTCGTGCTTTTCCCGATCTTTCTCCTCTTTCTTCTTCTTCTTCTCCGTCACTCCATCGTTGCCCTGGTGGTGGTGTGGAGGGACGGGCGTGCCCATGGCATACATTGGACCGACGGCGCTGTGGGTGACAGTGGGGTGGGAGTGGCTGTGGCCCCTCGATGAGTCTGAAGAATGTCACGCAAAGATGACGCGATTGGTAATGACAAGTATCGATTGTGTGCAGCAGAAAAGCGACTCTTTATTTGTTGTATCAACACATAGAAAACTCACCTCCAAATCCTTTGCTGTGCTTTTTGTCCTTCCCACTTTTTTCCTTGTCTCTGTCCTTTTCTTTGTCCTTCTTCTTCTTGCTTTTTTTGCTCTTCTTCTTCTTTTTGGACATGTGTGTGTATGAGTCATCTATAACCAGCTCACCCGCCTCCAGCTCAACCCCAGATGAAGAGCTCTCGTCTCCCAACCCACCTCCGTAATGACCTGTGGAACAGGGAACACATCAATGAATATTAATTAACAACACAAAATCTATCATGGGGGTCAAAATAATTTAAGGTGGTATGGTACATTGGCACTACAGGTGCACCAATAATATCTGTGAATACAGCTCATCAGCACTTGTTTGATCAGAAAACCAACATGTTTCTGATACCACAATATTAGTAAAATGATCAATACAAGTCTGAATGAAACACACGTGAACATGTTCATACCACACCTGTGTATGTTTGCTTCCGTGTAGCCCGGAGAAGCATTATTCCAACCTTACTATCAGAAACATAACATAACTTGCATCCCCTGGAACATATTTTAGGGTTATCTTACCTTCCACCTCCACCTCTTTCCCCACCACAGGCAGTGGATCTCGGCTCTGCTGCAGTTTTTTCTTGGGCGCCTTCGAGTGCGGCATCCTGTCTCTATCCTTCTCCTTCTTTCCGCCTCCTTTGGACGAGTGGGGCGGGAACGGGAAACTCTCACCTTCCTCTTTCTCTGGCGACATGATGAGCTTCATCTTCAGACCGTCGGCCTCGCGTAACGTCAAGGGCTCCTCTTTGGGAGCTCCACCGTGGAACAGCGACGACTTTGAGGAGGACGAGGAGTGCTTCTTGGAGGAAGACGATGACGAGGACGCGGGGCGGGAGTGGGAGAAGGAGTGGCTCCCTTTGCTTCCACCGCCGCCGCTGCTGCCCTCACGTTTGCGGTCCTTGGAGGAGTGCGAGGAGAAGGGTGGGTAGGAGGGTTTCTTGTGTAAGTGGGGGCTGGGGTCCGAACCTGTGGCCAGCGGAGAGGTGATAGCCTGCAGGAGGCCCATCGCTGTGTCTGTCGGGTGGGAGGAGGAGGGGGACGAGAGGGTAGGGGAGCGGTCTGTCGACTTGTGCTTTTTCTTGTGGGAAGGTGGACCTGAACCATCGTGGTCTGATACAGGGACGACACAGGAGAAGAACAAAAAGTAAATACAGTTGAGTCATTTTTTGTGAACTTAAACGGTTATTACAATATAACAACCTCTCACCTCTGTTATAGTAGTCATCGCTATGCTTCTTCTTCTTTTTGTGCGAGTCCCCTCCGACCGCGAACAGTTCGGAATCCTGATTTTGAATGACAGAGTTGCTTTCCGTTCATTCATAGATAAATTGGTTCAAAATATTAAAATGTGCTATAAACACCATAACTATTGGCATTTCTTAAAACCATCCTGTGGTATTAAACCATATAGTCACCTTCATGTTGACAGATAACCTACCTTGGGTCGTTTTTTGGATGATTTTCGGACCTGAGCAGCAATCTCCTCTTCCTCCCTCAACAGATCCTTGTACGACCTCCTCTTCTCTCTCTGGCTACGACCAGCTACAAGGCCTCTGTCTCCTTCCATCCCTGCATCTACAATAAATGAACTGAGTGTTTTAATCCTTAATTTAAAAGTAAAGATTTGATTTTTAAAAATGAGAACATTAGAGACGGCTTCGATGTCTAAGTCTCTTTAAATGTTCTCCGTTTCTTGTGCAAACTAGCACTCAAATCAGTGGAGCAACAGTTACGTTTAATTTATCATTGTGTTACTGACTGCAAAAAAATGTGCATATGTTTGATAAGTCTGTACAGTGGGAACAAAGTACAACTACATGCAGTTTGCCGGCAGACATTACCCATTCCTCCTTTATTCTTGATCTCCTCAAAAGCCATGGCTCCTGCTTTGTCAACACGTTTATTTGTCACAGTATGTCACTGACAACACAAGGCAGGATACTGACCTGTGAAGTCAACACCAAGGGAAACAAATCAAATGCAAGTTACGGTATTAATATCTATCCTGGACGACACACAACAAAGTGGAAAACTTGGACATTTATGGCTTCATATTTCATATCTTGTAACGTAACAAACATAAACAAAGGTAATTACACTCTAACAGGTACTCAGTTGCTACAACTAACGTTGTTCCGGCTTAGTCCCACACTGAGCTGCCCAAGTAACACTGGAGCTGCAGGTAACCTGAACATAACGCTCCTCAAAAGTGTGGAAGTGCTCAATGAATGGCTGCTTATTGAAGGAAAATACAAGTTACGCTGTGTTACAATAACGCTGTGGTCCGTTACCTACAAAATAGCACAACAAATGTTAGCTAAACAAACTCCCGCCTACTTTCGTAAAGATACACAAACACACCCCCCTCTCCATTCACTTTGAGTCCTTAGCTTCCCAACATTTCCAGCACTCGAATGGGTCTCGCTGAGCGTGCCCTCAGCCTGCCGGTCAAAGCGACTGAGGAAAGCCCGAGGCTTCACACCCACAGTTAGGCCGCGGTCGGCTCAAGTGCATAAAATAACGTGCCAAACATACATTTAACTCTGCTCGTGTCTCAATCTCCTCTGGGGTGATAACTTGTGATGTTTATACACACCAGGAAGAGAGGAAATAATGTGTTTATTAAATTTTACTACCTCTATGGATCTCCAATTTACGCGGGTCCGGTCGCCATTTTTTTTTATTATCGGCGAAGCCACAATACGTGTCAACGTAGAGGAGGGGCTTTGGTAACGCAGCCAATCAGCGTAGAGGAAAAGAAGCCACATTAACAAAGCACTTGCTGTTGCTCCGTTTCCTACTCTACTGTCTTCTGTTTTCACTATGCAAAATGAGAACTAAAGGCTCAACCATTGAATATATTGAAATAAGCAATAAATTACAGAACGGAAACCCAGCTAGATAGAACATTCTTTATCATATAAAAGACAATATTTGACAAATATAGCCAAACATATTGATTTATTGAATCACATATATTTCCATTTCCAACAACAGTCAAATATTTCAAATTTTTCTTTTACAGCACGGTTCACATACAAACATGACATGCAATACAAGAGAAAAGGCAACGAGATACAAAGAAGCTGTCAATAAGAAAACCAAAAATACAACAGTGAAAAGTGTTTAATCATTTCATGAGAAATACGTCTCATAATTATCGAAGAACTTGGCTAATAATGGCAGGCAAAAAGAGAACAAGTGAGTACATAGACACAGCCGTGACTCTTTTACTCACACACACACACACACACACACACACACACACACACACACACACACACACACACACACACACACACACACACACACACACACACGATAGAGAGCGAAGATCCCGCTGCACTTCTGGGTTGGCTTCTGTTCCACTAGTTTCCTGTTCTCAATGTATATTTCCCTAAGGGGTTTCTTTTAACCTTTTTTTTTCTGAAAAGCTAACATGTGATACTCTTTTCTGTCTATAAATAGATATCCATTAACTTGAAGTACTGGGCATTAGTATTTGAGCATCTTTTCATTTTAACCCAGATGAGAATATTTCAAAAGAATCTTTGTGTTATCTTGTTTGAATTGTCACGGTCCTGTAGAGTAATGCTGTAAACAAATATTTTGTTTACAGCAATGTGCTTGTCTGGTTAAGGCTACTGCAGCAGAGGCTTTCTTGGAACCCAGCAAGAATTCAGCTCTCTATACACTTTTTCTTTTACCTATCCCCCAAATTCTGTTTCTGTAGACTGAGTGATGTAAAACTGGCCAATAAATCAGTCACCTCATCCACCTATAGAAAAAATAAGAGGAAAAATACATTCAACTATGTATAAGTGTTAGTGAAATCTGAGTAAATCCATAAGAATAAACAATACATTCAAATGTAAAAAAAAAAAAAAAAAAAAGTCAACATTTAAGTTTAGTTAAACCACAAATCTTTGTTTTTAAACATGCAAGTCTGAGATCTATTCAATGAGTATGTCGGTCTCACCTGCTCTTTGGTGCGTGTGTGCTGCAGCTGTGTGGAAATGTGCTCCAGCCTCTCTTTAGCTTCACTCTGGCCCATTAAGTTCAGGTATTCCCTCAGCATTTGAATGATCTACAAGGGAAAGTCAAACGTATTTGATAGATCTATAAATTAAGCACGCAGTTCCCGAACCAATCAGGATCTACCCAAAGCCTAAAGCCGGGCAACTTAACGCCTTCTCTACCTGTGTGACTTCCCCTCTCAGGGTTTCTAAGCTGCGTGAATCTCCCTCCTGCAGAATATTGAGCTTGGAGCGTGCTAGATGCAGAGGGGTCCTGCCTGCTCGGTCCAGGGCGTCCACACGGGCTCCTTGACAGAGACAATAAGAGCACAAATCTATCAGATACACATGCCTATCAAATCGTTTTCATTCATTCTCAATTCTAATAGAATAATAATCACACTTGAGTTTATTAACTCTGACTAGCGGACCAGTGTTGTTATAGATCTGGCAACATCATTTAAGTGGTTACAATCCTACACCTGAACTACATTTAGTGGAACGTTCTAAATTACTTTAGGTTGAAATCATTCAGCCTCCGTTTGTTCTAAGCAGCCTTCTTTTGGTGGGAAATGTTCAGGCAGCCACAGAAAATATGGCCAACAGGTGTCTAAATTACATTATATACTGGGGCACTGTGAAACAGTTTGAACACCGTTCTCAATCAGTGATCATGTTAGACTGCATTCATCTACATGAAACCAGGGCAGCAGCACCGTTGCTTTATATAATGTTTATGATAAACTCACTAAGACTAAGACAAACTTACATTTAGAGGTTCCCTTTGGCACTTGCTGTATTTTTGGCAAGCGATATGCACTGTATATACTGTGTATACATATAAATATGCTCCTTCAGGGCAACAAACACCTTGAATATAGAGTTTAAATTAATTAAGTTGATCCTGCGCCCCAGGCTCTCCTACAATGGGAAACTGAGTAACATGTATACAAAGAGGTCTCACCTCCTCTCAGCAATGTGGTGATTACAGGCACATGGTTGGTACAGGCCGCTGCAGAAACACAGGTTAAAATGGGTAAATTGTGACACAAATACAAGAATAAAAGTGTTAAAAAAAAACAAACACTGGTTGCATGCCTAAAACGTCCCTAAAATGTTGCTTTTATGTCATTCTGCAGTACGTCTTTGCGTTGGCAGGTGCGGGTGTAAAGCAGCTGCACAGCTGCGAGTCAGAGTGAACCCACAGTCGCATGCTTTACTGACCACAGTGCTGCGGGTTTTACGGGGTCAGGGTGATGTGTTCTCTTACCCAGATGGAGGGGGGTATTTCCCAGGCTGTCTCGCTGGTTGGGGTCAGCGCCGTGGCTCAGCAACAATTGCACTACAGACATAAAGAAAAGGACATTTGGAAAAGAAAGGGAATGAGAATTACTTGAAGTATGGTAAACAACAGCATGCATTATACATGATTTCACCAATCACCAACCTACCAATGCTCTCATTGCCATTGCAGGAAGAGAAATGGAGGGCCGTCCTTCCCTTGTCATCTGCTGCACACGGGTCTGTATCATCTTGCAGGAGCTTTCGAACTGGAAGAACACAACTGTGATTACCTTTTACCTTACACCACCTGCGAGGCTTTTTTTTTTTTCTACTGCAATCCACCTCACCGTCCATACCTGTGTCGCTGTCATTGCTGTTCGCAGCTTCCCTCAGCCTTTTCGCAGCTGTGGAAATACGGCATTCAAAATGACATGTAAATATTGCTTTATGAGTGGATGAATGGGATCTGATGGCTTGACATGTGAGCAACAAACAAGATAAGCCATTCACTGGCTTTACACTGTCAAGAGGGGGGTGCTCGATCAGCCACCGATATTGCAACTGTACATGGTGTTTATCAGTGTAACACTGAGCATGTTATTACATGAGACAAGATAGCTATTGGGATTTTGGTAATCATAATATGACACATCTTAATATCTTCTGGAATTAACTGCATTACACTGTGCTAGAACTGTATTACCTTTAGCCTACCTGTTTGGTTATATCTAAATTACTGGCGTGTAGTTTTCAAGGGACCTAGCTTGCATATTGTATTAAACCAACATACTCACAAACCTAAAACACCGTCACGATATTGAGTCTACATATTACTACACACATTCTGTATTTTGCAGCTAAACAAACGTGGCCAACCTGTAGCTGTCCCTTACCGTAGATGTCTTTCCCCATAGGGCCGAGGTTCCGGACCACTCTGTGCGGCCGCCTGGCCCTCCTCCCCGTCACCTTCCCCATCTTGCTTGCCACACCACCGCCGCCGAGCTCGGCTCGTCCGGGCTCCCACAACAAGTGCAGGTACCGGAGCTCTTTCTCGTCCCTCGGTCCCACTCGACCCAACACCACTTTGCCCTCTCCGGTCCCACTTATCCCAAACCCGACAGCGGCGGTACCCCCGGGGTCCATCCTCTCCGGGTTTACGTTACCCCGCTGCTCCCTGCCCACCTCCTCCTCCCGGGTTTCATCTTCAGGTCCGGGCTCCACCATGTACTCCCCCTCGGAGCTGGAGCGGTCATTATCCGAGGCTGTCGCAACGATTGGGCTCCACCCGTCCATACTTTATCGTGACATGTGGACGCCGTGTTTATGCTACGCTCCTTACTACTACTGCCACAGAAAAAAAGGAAAGAAAGCCGTCATACGTAGGACAACTTTGAATACGCCATCCGCACCGTCAGCGACGCCATTGCGCGGCACGTCTACGTAGAAACTCCCTCGTTAAAGGCTTCCCGTCCTCGGTACTTTGCAGTGTTTAATAGCAGAAGACAGCCAACCTTTACGGAACCAAAATGTCGCCTATTTCACATATTCCATAATCTCGAACGTAGTAACAGGCACACCCATTGTACAGTCGACAGATCCAGCGCAGTGATGACCAATCAGATTCCGTGTTGTTCATTTAGCTCCTGTCCAATAGAATCCACGCAACAGGGCAGCCAATCAAACAGTCTCTGTGCTGAACCGCGAATATAGCTTCGCGCATGCGCATTGTAAAAAAGAAATCAATAATAGTCCACAAAACACATTTGCAATTATTCTTTAATATACATTTCATCAGGTATAATCAGAAAAAAATGTACAATGCATAAAAACACACACCCTCCACCTATATAGCTTCTTATGAACTAGATTCAAATGGCATACTATAATGTATGTAGATATTTTGTTAGGAATCACAATATGGAAACATTCAAGGGAGAAAGTGGCTTTCCAGTGATAAGCAGTTTCCAACCTGAGGGGTTGGGTCCCCAATTAGTCACATGATGATGAAGTAGGAGGGGCCGTGAGATAATTACCGAATGAGGAAATACTCAAAGTTACACTTAATTTTTCAGATTTTCCTCCAATCTTTGCTGTACTCTAATGAATCGCTTAATAATGGCACTTCTTTGAACCCTTAAACATGATCAAAATAAACAAAAGGACATTAACTCCTTGGTTAAATTTGTCACATTTACAACGGACAAGGGTTTGTAAATTGCCTTAATTAAAGTGGCCGCAAGCCCAAAACATTGGGAACCACTGATCTGTATGATGGTATTCTGTTAAGATATTTGGTCTTGTGGAGGGAAACATTATGGGTGCTAGAGGTAGCAAGTCTGACGGACTTAAACAGCATCTAATGGTGCGTTCACACCAAACGCGGTGCGGATTATTCGCGCGAGTAGATTACATACAAAGTCTATGCACAGACGCGATGAGACTGGAGTGACGCGAAATTGCGATGGCGCGGCGCGATTGACGCAAATTCGCGTCAAACGGCAAATCGCCCCAAACGCGTGAGTTGAAAATGTTCAACTTCGGCGAAATATTCGCGTTACGCCCCAGCGCGATAGCCTATCAGCGTTGAGATGTTTCTCCTGTCATCACTGACTGCCGTTGTTGAATCAGGAAATAAATACTGTAGCCGTCTGTGTTCACCCAGAGCTCTACGATACCTCATATCAATAGAGACCGGAACAAACTATGTGTATAAATGTGTGTGTGTAAACCTTATGGTACAAACAATGAATAGACGCTGCCGTATTTACGTCTAGATGACGTTATTCTGAGTGTTGGTGGAGCTGCTACAATGTTAGCATAGCCTAGCACCGATCCATCAGAGCTCCATTGAGAAGACAAGTACAAATCGGCATCATTACGTAGTTATGTCGGAGTCCCTTTTTGTCGGTTTATTGCTGTTAAATCACAGCCAAATCTGTTTATTTTGTGTTCATACAGCTGTAGTAAACAGCGACCTGTGGCTTGCTAGACACAGTGAATACACTTCGATAAAATTCAGAGCTCCTCTGGACAATGTTATGAACCAGACATGACGGCGTTTAGTTTCCCGGGATATCTGTGACTTCCACAACACGTACTAAGCAGAAATAGGTTATTTTTTCCATGGTTAATGGCGGACAGTTGAACGGCTTTCAGGGCGATAAGCCACGCCCCCTCTCTGGCGCGTCCAGCGCGATTCGCGCCTATGAACACAAATAGTCCCCGGCGAGACCGGCGGCGCGAATGACGCGAATACGCGTTTGGTGTGAACACGGCGCATAGCTTTAAAGATAGTCTTAATAATCTTCTTCTGTGGCTGTCGGACGACCGCAATAAACCCGTCCAATCGTTTCTTTCGGCTCGAATGTAATGATTGGACGGGCTACCCGCCTGCTTACCTGTGCATACTCTGCCCACACACTCATTGCTCTTTACCAGAGTCTTCCACAAACCGCTAGCTTAACAGTCGTGAGAACTTATAATATCCATGTTCTTTGTTTACGTTCATGACAATCATTTTGGGGGGGGGGGGAGTAGCTTTAGAGGTAGGCTTTAAAGTACGGGCTCTCAGTGTTGCCAACGTGGCGACTTACTTGCTAGATTTAGGAACTTTTAGAGCGCTGCTTGCTACTTTCATTGGACAAGATTTGTCTGAATTTGTTGTGGTTGGATTATTCTTTGTTAAATCTAACGTACTCGCTACCTTCTCAAGATTACCAACCTTGCCTTTAACACGCTTGGGCAAAACAATCAGAAGTCAAGTTTCAGTCCTGAAGAAATGGAGGCTCCAGCTTGTGCCAGGTAGTTTGGGAATGCGGGATCCGCCCCCGACGTGCCCGCATCTCGCTCAGTAGGCATCGGTCCAGCGTCATGATTGCGCTGCCACGGCTGACTGTTGGGAGCGACACCCTGCCGCTTCAAGTACCCGTGCTGACAAAACAGCGGCGGCTTGCGGTGGGTGAGGGCTGAGCGGAAGCATGATTCTGAAAGGCATGAGAAAACACAAGGACTGAGTCAAACTACTAATGATAGAATAAATACATAAAACATAATTAATAGAGCAAGCAGTGTGTAATTCATAATTTAGAAAGCTTTACCGGCATAGAAGGCCCTGAGGTCAGTCTGGACACAGTGCTCCAAGAAGCGCCGCAGTGGCTGGATATGAGATATGGGAGTCCCCCATTCTGTGAGGAAGTCCTCAACCACGTGATGAATCGCCTTCGGCCTTGGCAAAGGCCAGCCGGAGGGACGGAGCTTCATTTCTTCCTCTGGGGAAAAAATAAAAGAAATAAAAACTCACATAAAGCTTCATTCAGAGCTCGTTCCCTGTCAAAACGGCAGTAATTCTTCTCCAAAAAATGCACTGTTGACGGCACAGCATTTCTACTCGCCAGTGGGAAGTTGGTCGTAGTAGTATAAAACAGGGTGCAGAAAGTTGGATTTCCAAGCTCTGGTCCATTCTGTGTAAGCCCGGCCCCGCCCCAAATTGTCGACTTTTTTCTTCCCGTACTGCATGACCAGAACTATCAGTCCGTGGTTGGAGACCTCGTGGCCCGAGAGAGAGGAGACCTGAGGCAGGGCCTGGAGTGTAAACTCTTCCACGTATTCACAGTGAGAGCTTAGCGTGAAGGAGAGAAGAAAGCACCATAACAGAGCATGAAACAGCATTTCATGTAATGAGTATAAACAGAGAGTGCTACTGATACATTCATAATATCTATCCATCTATATGAATAGATAACCTGTCATTCCAATTTAAACATCTGTTAATTCTGTCATCGCCTGGATTGACAGTCGCTGCTTGTTAGAATTACATATTACTTAGATTTTGTCCTTTTACACTTATCAAGATAAAGGAGGTCAAAATATATCTCTCGAAATTAAAACACTTCAAAAAGGTGATACCGAGTAATGATGTCGTAAAGCAGATGCTTTGTGTCAAGTCTCCTCACTGAGGATTTTGCTCGCTCTGCATCCAGCGACTGCACTCTCACGTTAATTAAAAGAAGCCAGTTTAAAGTGGTTTGGGGATATCAACAGAACACACGCTTACCCGCGAAGAAGGATAACGTCCCCGAGCACCTCAAACATTTGGTACGGCCCAGAGGCCTCGTTGATCCGCTTCAGAATCCACGACTGCAGATGTGCCGTCGACAGTTTCGTCGATTGCCACGGGTTGCTGTGATAACGCTGTTCAAGCACACGGTGTACAGAGCGCACTGTGGCAAAAAAAAAATTTGTATTAAGTGTATTAAAATATCCCCATAATGTAAAATTGTTTAGTTTTTTTATTCATAAGTTATAATTCCAAAGATTGGTTTTGGCGGCACATCCAGACAGTGTTGGTAAGTCTTGGAAATGTCGAAAAAAGACACTCGGTTCATAATACTTCAGATGCACAATCCCCATTGTGCTACTCAATTCTGCGATAGTGACCTAACTGACATTTATTTAAACGAAAATCTTTGTGAGTTTTATTTGCTTTAAATGCATAATTGCCCAATTTGTCTGCATTCCAATTGCGCCCCATGCAGTCGAGCGTTTCATGGTCCACATTTGAGGGGCTGTGGCAGAAAGGACGCTGCGATCGGAATGAAGCATAGTTCGCCCTAAATGCCACGAAACAAACAAAAACATCTGTTTGGACTTTTTCACCTGTGTAACGGAAACCGTGGACGAAGCCGCCGGCAGACGAGCGGTAGTCTCTGGAGTGAGCGGCGGTTCCCAGCACGAACAGGCCGGGGGTGTTCTCCCCTTCATACCAGGCCGTCAGCCTCGGCAACCTCCCTTTAGCATTGTCGCTGTTCATTGGGCGGGCGGAGCTAGGGAAGGTTGAACGTTACATAAATAAAACAGCTTCATCACACATAGTAATAATGATACAAGAGAGGGGCATTCTTTGACAAGGCAGCGCGTTACTTAACGTACAGATTATGACACAATACAATAATCCTACCGTGTTACACAGGTTATACCTGTCAAATATGCTGAAGTTGAATCCGAATCCAAGGCACGATATCACCCGGTCGTAAGGCTTTCGCATAGAGAAGTTGTCAATGTGATAACCTGGGGTTTCTTCTCCCGTCACATCAGAACCGTTCTTCTCTTCCTGGTGTTGCAGGTACTTCTTTAAAGTCACGTAGAACTGTCCCTTCTTCTTAGCGCCCGATCTCCTCCTGCCTTGCTCCTTCAGTTGAGTGATGGCTATTTTATCCAGGGGGATTTCCGCCAACCCGTCCAGGGACTTCAGCTGATACGTGTCTAGAAGCTCGTTATTCAAAGCTCTGGACAAAAAAATAAATAAATAAATAAATAATATATATATATATATATATATATATATAGGTCACTTAACATTAAAATGTGAAATCAGACATGTGAGAAAATATAAGGGGTCACTACCTCTGTCAATAGTTGTTTTGAACATTTTTACCAGTTTGTGCCGTAAATGTGTGGGACACAAATTATGACAAAACATCTTAAATATTCAGATATAAGGAGAGGGATTTATCTTCATTGTTGAACATTTATTTTTATATAGTTGAGTCAAAACTTTGCTGCACTAATTATTGGTTCTTTTACGTGTGTCACACCACAGGACACTATGTCACACTGGAGGACAGCACTGGTGGTGTACTACTTGTAATGGTGGTTAAATATCACACTTTAGACTTACTTTCATGTCACTTATAACAGTAAAAGATTTCTGTAAAAACAGCAGAAAATATTTGTATAATTCATGTAATTATTGCATTTAAAAACACTGTAAATGGTCGGAAAAAAAAAAATCGTATTTAATTATTTAAAAATGCTTCTTAAAAAGACCTTTTCCTCTTGTGTGACGTCTTTGTCCCGTCACCTCGGTCATTAGCAGTTAGCAAGACCCGTTTGCAGAATTTTCCATAGTTATGCAGTTTAACATTCAGTTTTTAATTTATAAAAAAACATAACTTAGGGGGGGTGACACCAACAGGACAAGCGAAATTACCAAATCTTTGGCGCTACCTGAGATCTCCGACGTAGTGCGTTTCCCAGGCCAGTCGAACAGGGTTGGAACTGAGCATGTGCACCAATTTCGCTCTTCCCGAGATGTTCTGGGCGGTTTCAAAAGCCGAGTTCCCCTTGCCCAGAATAAGTACGGCCTGGTCCTTGTAGTCCTCGGGATCAGTGGAGATGGACTCGTATTCCTCGACCAAGTCGGAACCGACAAACTCAACCCTCTGAGGAACCCACAGACCCGAGGCAACCAGGAGGACTCTGGGGGGGAGAGAGGACAGAGGTACAACACCATGCGGCTCACAATCCGAAACAAAGGTTTAAACTGTCATCTCAGGTTCAGTGTGGCGCAAACTACCTGCACTTGTAGTCCGATGCATGTTGGTCGGTCAGGATGTAGCTTCTGCCCTCGGGGGACCGCACTGCCCTGATCATCCCGACGTCCACGCCGTACCGGACCCTCAGCCCGAGCTCCTTCTCAAACATGGACAGGTAGACCGGGAAGGTATCGGCTGGCGGGAAGAACTCCCTGCTCACTCTCTTCAACAGGAGGTCAGGTCTATCGCTGAGCAGCGAGTTCCAGTCGTGGCGCATGTTGAACTCGCGGTTCTGGCTCCCCGTGTAGATCTTGTTGATGCTGATGAGCTTCCTGTGCCGGGGATACCTTGAAAACAGAGCAGAGGAAGGCCCGTGTCAAAGGGCAACTCAGGAGGGGAGACGGGTACCGTAAGACATGCCTTCACAAAGCGCCCTTACTTGTTAAAGAAGCTGCCCGGCCCAGAGTTCCTCTCCAAGATGACGTAGTCTCTTTTAGCTTTGGAGAGGAAATATCCCATCTGCAGTCCCGCGGGCCCAGCACCGAGCACACAGTAGTCATAGCGGCGGGGGCCGTGGTGGTGGCCGTCATCAGGAGAGCACTGGACGCAGCCAATCAGGATGAGGAGGATCAGACGAGGAAGGTTCGAATCCATTACCTGTTGGGACGTGAGGCAATGTGGTGAAAATGTGAGTTATGATAGGACAGCATCAATAAATAAATCAGAAAATAAAATCCATTAAGAATATTGTTTTAGCATAAAGGTTTTTTTGGGGGGGGAGTTCCTGTACCGATGTGAGGGTCCTGGGACAGATTGTATATATACATATACATATTAGTGTTTTTTCATAGAGAGTTGTTTGTAAATTGTCTTAAACATCATTGTACTACTTGTATTTCACTCCTAGCCTACATGCACAAGTGGGCTATGAATCAGGGACCCGTTAAAACTGGTCTGTAGCGCTGTACATGGGTCCGGCTCTACGGGGATACCTGGAAGGACTACAACTAGCTACACCGGAGCAGAAGGGCTACGGACATTTCAGCACTAACTAAGTACGGCGTCAAACTTAACGAGTAGCTTAACAGGTAACACAGCGACTCGGAACAGGTAACGCGGTGAGAGACGGCAGCGGTAGCCCCGACACTCCACGAACTCTCCAGGCCGACGTTGTATCACCGTCCCGAGGATGCGGCGGGGCGCCTCGAACCAGATGTGAGGTCGGCTAACGTGATCCCGCACAAGTACGTCACGTAGCCTCCACGTTACCTTTTCTATTTCAGTCGATCCCTCGCGCGCACCATCGGTGGTTTAGCATCTATCATACCTGTGGAGACGGCTACATGTTTGCTAGTTTGCATCGTACGGTGCGATGCGTGTGCGTGTGTGCGTGCACCCCTCTGAAAATCCACCAGCCTACAACCCGCTTCCCCACCTTGGACAACAAAAACCCCAATGGAGGGCTGCTTGCATAAGGGGCGTGTTTAGAGAATACCATAGAATAGAGCGCAGTAGAATATGTCCCACATTTCACATAAACTCCCAACAAGTGTTCCGCATTTGAAAATCAAATGCCCCTCTTTCAATAATAAGTGGTGTCTGTCCTGTTTTTTTTTCCCCACCCAAAAAAATAAAATAAAATCCATAAACTTGCTACATAAGAATATTCAAATTCTTAAAACTCCATGTGCTCGTCGACATTAAAAGAGCCTTTGAAGGCTGAACATCTAAATAATCTGGATAAAGTGATCAATGAGTCCTGGCTCTGGAATGTTATGTCACTCTAAAGACCAAACATTGTGACACACATTGGCTGGAGATGGAGCTCAAAGTAAAGCTCTTTTATCATGTTTTTATGGACACAATACTCATACTCTTCATTTTGTAACATGTATCTCTTCATCTTTGATGAAAATAAGTCAAGGGTGTAAAAGTTAACATACTACACTGACACTTCCCCTATCTGCCCAACCATGTGATTTACCATTAGGCTAATATCACAGGTTGCATGATATACATCCATTTTCATGTTTCACTTGCAGTTCAAACAAATCCATCTGCGTTTTAGATTAGATTCATCTGTTTTCATTATATAATTTCATTAATTTTTCATGAAGGATTTAAACAAACTATATTTGTGCTTTATTGCTCCTTTCTTGTTGCTAAAGACCTTATACCCACCATCGGGTAGATGCCGTTGGGTGAGCGCGAGGAAAGTGCCTAGACCTGGAAGATCCTTCTGTCCAACTGCTCCTGGGATCCTGAGAGTTTTGCAGCAGATGAGTGACTCTCAACAGATCAGCTATAGGCCATTTATTGGTGTCATCCCACAGCATAAGCCCTCCCTCCTCAGGGATGTTTCTAAGGATAAACTACAAAAGGTCATGTTAGTTTAATATGTACTTTGAGCATTTTCCATCGACATTTAATGACAATTTCATCTTCATTTACTCACATGGTTTGTCCCTGTGCATTAGTATTGTAGTGGTTTAAGTATTCAGATCCTTTATGTAAATAAAAGACGAGACACTGCAGTCTAAAATATATACCCCTTTACATTTAGCCCTATAATGTGCAGTTTTATTTTTTATCTAAAGCTATCTCCCAATGAGTACAGTGGATGTCCATTACATTTAAAACATATTTGAGTGTGCACCCGTAATATATTTGTGAATCTCCTCATGTGGGTTGTGTTTGCATTTGTATACAGTGAGAGCTATTTTTGTGTGCATTGAATTGAAGTGATAGAAATTCACCAGGATGGTGCAGTGTCAGCGTACTATGGTCGACCAGAGACCGGCTTGTAGAACAGCATTTCAGATGTGTAGAAAACCTCTTAGCCTCTGTAGATGTGGGATATTTAACGAATGAATGAGATTTAACTGGACCTAAAAAAAAGTTTAAAACCTTCTGACATTCGTTATATATGTACATACAGGTCCACACATGACATAATGACCTCTGCATCACAGGGAGCAACTTTCACGCCATACTTTTTGATTTCTGCCACATCATGAAATCACATTTCCCCACAACGTTCACACATTTGCTTTGTCATGCTTAAGCCTCAGCAGTGTGTGACTTAAAGTGAGTCATTAGTCCCACTTCCCATTTACCTCGCAGCCACGGCACATCACGGCTATATAAGAGAGCTGCGAGGACACGGTGGACCTTTAACTCGGCGGAGCTGACAAGACGACCAACCAGCCTAAAGGAGAGAAGTCTTCAGTATTTTGACAGGTGTGTTACATACATTCTTATTCTTGTTAAATGTGTTTAATTGAACTAATTAAACCAAATCATTTGTCTGCATAGATGGAGACCATGAAGAGTGCTAGGAAGACTGAAACAGGGGACATTGGGAGGTACGACAGTTTATTCTAAAGATAATTTAAACACAGAACTGTATGATTTAAAAGTAAAATAAACGTTTTTTTCTGTGTTCTGCCATCAGTGACCTATCAGAGCAGGTCAAAGCAGCCACTAAGGACGGCCATGTCAGAGCTGAAAACACACAGCTGATGCTGAGTTACCAGAAGGGTCACATCACCCTGCCTCAGTACAAGGTAAGCTCCTCACAATTAACACACACTTTGTCTTTTGTTCCGTAATGTTTACATTGTTCTGAAAAGCGGCTCTTCTTCCTGGCGGTCAGGTCCTGTTGTGTTCCCTCCACGAGATTTACAAAGCGCTCGAGGACGAGCTGGACAGAAATTCTTCCCATCCAGCTGTGGCACCGATATACTTCCCTCAGGAACTGGCCCGTCTGGAAACGCTGGAGAAGGATCTGGAGCACTTCTTGGGCTCCGGCTGGAGGAAGAGGGTGGTCGTTCCCGCAGCCACGCACAGATATGAACAGAGACTACGACAGGTGAGCGGAGAGGAAGGCGCTGAGTTAGCGTTCAGCGCGGGCCCGTTGTGACACACCCTTATTTATTATTTTTTAACAGATTGGCAAAGAGAGGCCCGAGCTGCTGGTGGCCCACGCCTACACGCGCTACCTCGGCGACCTCTCGGGAGGTCAAGTGCTGGGGAAGATTACCCAGAAATCTCTGGGGCTGAGCAGCCAAGAGGGGCTTTCGTTCTTCTCCTTCCCCGGCGTGACCAGCCCCAACCGCTTCAAGCAGCTGTACAGGAGCCGGATGAACGGCATCGAGCTGACGGAGGAGGAGAGGGCGGCGGTGCTGGAGGAGGCCGTCGCCGCATTCGAGCTCAACATCCAGGTGAGCGGAAGAGGGAATCGAAGAGCAGCTTTACCGTGTGCACCCGACAGCGCGGCGTCGGTGACCCAGAATGGTTTCAAAAGTCACACAGAAACTTGCAAAAAGAGAACCGAATCTGTCAACATGGTTTTTTTTTTTTTTATGTCTTTTCTTTCAGGTTTTTGATGACTTGCAGAAAATGTTGAGTGTCACAACAGAAGCGGAGGACCAATCAGCGGGCAACGTCGTCAGAACTGCCACGTTCCCATCTTTACCCATCGTGGGGTTATGTGTGGCTCTCACCACTATTGGACTGGGAATCTACTCCTTGTAGATTTTACCAGCACTTTTTATATATGCACACGCAGCACTTAACTAATGAATTAATGCAACAAATAAAATCAAGACAGAACATTGTGTCTCATCTTTAAAAGTATCAAATCACAGCTGAAAGTGATTCTCAACTTGTCATTGGTGTGAACGTATTGAAACAATCCCACACTGTGAAACCGTTTTATGATTTATGTTGAATAAAAAAAAAAGCATCAGTTTGAAACAAGTCCTCTTATGATTTCAAATACTTTAATTCTTTACACATCGTGCAGAAACTTCATTCATTCTGGTGCATGTGATCAGACAGTTAGTTGTGGCCATAAAATCCAGAAGCAACTGAATGGACCTCAACAGTTCACCACGACCCAGACTGCACATTCTAAGATGTCCGTGGGGAAACAGAGTCTCGCATGAATAGGCAGACCCAAAACTATTTACATCAACAATGAAACGTTTGCTCTACTTGACTCGGTAGAGCACTTTCCTCTGCATGCGGTGCTGCAGCTCGCCCCTCCTTAACATCAGCTGGAGGACTTTGTAGATGGCGTGCTCTGGATACTTCTGTTAAAGAGGAATACAGAGAGTCAAAACAGGAGAGATCAATCCTCAATTGACCTTTAAGGGAAAATAAGTCCAGATTTTTTGTTGGATATTTTAATACAAGTTATAGTTAAACTGACAACTAACAGCTGTGGTTCGTTTTGGTAATCATTTCTGTTGGATAAATATAAAACGTCTTACAAAAACAACTACCGAGGTCACAGTGTATATCTTTGTGTCACTGTCATTTTCCTTATCATTGATTCAATGTTTGTTAACAGATTTACAGTGCTTTGCAACAGTGTTCCTCCCCGTTGGCATTTTTCCTACTTTGTTGCGTCACAACCTGGAATTCAATTGTTTTTACATAACATTGGATTTTATGTAACGGACCTACTCCGACCTACCCTGTGGGGTCTGGGGCAGGCATCAAGGGCAAAGTAATGATAATGAAAATGAAAAGACACATTTCATTATGAAATGGAAAAACGACTTTGAATTGGCTTTATGTGCCGTTCTCCACCATCACGATATAGTGAGACTGACCTGTTTGGTGAAGTCCTGGACGATGCTGTGCTCAGACACCTGGGAGCCGATGGCAAAGCGTCTCTTCATCTGCTTCTCGACGCGCGAGACCATTTCCTGGTCCTCCAGAGACGTGAAGCCCTCCACCCCTAGGGACGAGATGTGAGGAGATGTTAAAAGAATGGAAAGTTATTGTAATTCGGTCATAAGAGAACACCAGCAGTCATGTTGCAAATATGTTACTTTGAATTGATTGTAAACAGAATGTTATTTATTGAAGTCACTCACATTGTTAGAGTATATTTTTATACAATTGAAAAGTCAATCTTTAGGTTTGGTCAAGTTTGCCTTCATACTTCGACCAGTAGCAGAGCAGGAGCTGGATGTTCAGTCAATTATCTACTAACGCTACTTTTATCTAGCTATAAGAACTGACTTTGGTGATCGCTCACTGCCAAACTCATTCATGTAGTTTCTCTTTACAGCGGAAAAAGTAAAAAAATAAAAAATAAATATGTCTGACAGCTCCAGTCACAGCTACCACACACACACACACACACACACACCTGAGAGGCTGCCAGACAGTGCAGCGTCCAGTGTGGAGACCTGGAAGAGTCGGAGGGCCTCGTCCACCTCTTCCTCTCCGGCCACAGCCTGCAGCTTCATCTTGGCCAGCGACTCTGCGATGCGCACAACAGCCTCCAGCTGCCTGAGGAGGCGGAGATAGAAAGGTTTGTAATCAAAGGGAGTAAAAGTTGAGCTACACGTTCATCACTGAATTGTCAAAGCGGATGACGCCATCTTAAAAAAAAAAAAAAAAAAAAAAAAAAGTACCTGACGGTGATGGGGATGGAGGGTCTTTTGTTAGACTCCCGTTCATGCTCCCTTGCTCCGCTCCTCATCACCACGTATCTGTTCTTCAGCTTCTCCGCGGCCGCGGGAGAGAGCCGAGGGCCACACTTACTGCAAGCAAACATTCAGAACCCGTCGTGTTAATGAGCCCAATTAAAATCTTAAAAAAAAAAAGAAAAAAAAAAAAAAAAAAGGTATAGCTTGTGTCGTCGTCGTCGGAGAGACTCACGTTCTGGCGTAGGCGATGTATTTCTTGAAGGTGGCCAGCGTAACCTCGCCCTCGATGCCCTCCGTCTGCATCTGGGCGCTCAGGTGGACGTTCATCACGTGACGAGCCAGCGTCTACGGGCAGACGTTACAAAGAGCGTTAATGTTCCCGCTGCCGGCAAGGATGTGAAGCGGCGGACTTTCGGAATAATAAAAAAGAAAAAGAAAAAGAAAAAAAAAAAGCGCCTCCTCACCATGTCCCGCTGATGGTCGTGATGGTCTTTGATGATGAAGATCATGTCGAAACGGGACAAGATGGTGGGCATGAAGTCAATGTTGTCCTCCCCCTTCGTGTCGTCCCAGCGGCCGAACACAGAGTTGGCGGCGGCCAACACGGAGCAGCGAGAGTTCAGGGTGGTGGTGATGCCGGCCTGGTGGTGGTGGGGGTCAAGATGTTAGGTTACCCAGTTAGGCGCTCAGTACATTAAAAAAGGACACAACACATGGGTTTCTACCTTGGCGATGGAGATGGTCTGTTGCTCCATGGCTTCATGAATGGCCACTCTGTCGTCCTCTCTCATCTGAATAACAAACGTACTTTTGTCTTTAATCATTGGACACAAATAAAGTTCTACATCCTCCGCCTGCTACACAACAACCCGTTTTTTTTACCTTGTCAAACTCGTCGATGCAGACGACCCCACCGTCGGCCAGCACCATGGCCCCTCCCTCCATGATGAACCCGCGGGTGTGGGGGTCCCTCAGCACGGAGGCGGTCAGACCCGCGGCGCTGCTGCCTTTACCCGAGGTATAGATCTGCCGGCGACACAATGAAGACTCGGCGTCAGCGGGTGAACTCGCATCGCCGAGCAGAACAACGTGCGATGAATCGATACACTGAATAGGATAAGTACCCCGATAGGCGAGCACCTCTCCACGAACTTCAGCAGCTGGGACTTGGCCGTGCCGGGATCTCCCAGCATCAGCAGGTTGATGTCCCCCCTGCGAGTGAGGCCGTCGGGCAGCCTGAAGAGACGGGGAACTAAAAGCATTACTAAACACGCGGGGGGGTGGGAGGTCTACCCTTAAATGGTGTTGAAGCCACATCCGGCAGCCTCACCTCTTCCTTGAACCCCCAAACAGCAGACAGGTGATGGCCTTTTTCAGATCGTCGCTGCCGTAGATGGAGGGAGCTAAGGAGCGTGCCAGAGAGGCGTAGACGTTTGGCGAAGCAGACAGCGCCCTCAGTTCCTCCTCCTCCTGTGGAGTGACTGATCCTGTAGCACCCCGTCCTGGAAGGGGGGGGGGGGGACAGACCCATCAACATCTAACCATCTCCCTCTGGATGCTAGAAACTAATGTATCACACTTAAAACATTTAGGGTTTATTGAGCAGAAAGTCATCTCTACCTGCTCCCTCTGTGTCCACCTGGATGCCAACCACTCGCAGGTAGGACGCACGAATGCCCACACCGGCACTTTTCTCTCTGCCTTTGGCCTTCACGGGGGCAGTCTTCTTGATGGAGTAGATGCCCACGATGGTCACTCTGTTGCCTGGGACCACGCGGTCACACAGATACCTGTAAGAGGAGGAGGAGGGGAACAGCTTGAACCGACAATCCTTCACATTTCTGATTATGTGAGGGTGCAGCAGCAGCAGAAAACACCGTCCTTGACGTAGTTTGCTTGAGTGCGTGCTCCTCACCGATCACAGTAGAGCTGCAGGTGACGGGGCATCTCTCCGTGAGGCACAGCATCCGGGGCCTCCTGCAGGCGGAGAGTCTGGAAGTCGACGCAAATGCAGCGGTCCGGGATGATGAAGTAGGGGTCCACGGGACACTTCACACTTCCGGGATGCTCCCTGAAAAAAAAGAGAAATGTGGGGGGGGGGGGGGGGGGGGGGGAAATTAAAATCAAACCGGTGACAGAAATGTCTTCATCTCTAAGAGCTGAAATGGTCGTTCCTATGGCCCTCGATCCAGACAGTCGCACTCACTTATTGCACTTGCGCGGCAGAGCGTAACCCTGCAGGCCCGGGGGCAGGGCGATGTTGTTGATGAGGCCGCGACAGCCGCGACACTGCAGGCACACCTTGGTGGCCTTCGCCCTCACCGCGGTGGCCGAGATGATGATGCCGTGCACCTTCACCAGACGGGACACCTGCTCGGACTACAAGGGGAGAGGGGGAAACGGCGAAATGTGATCGGGCGGTCAACGGTGACTGCGAGAATACGAGACACACACAATAAAAAAAAAAAAAAAAAAAAAAAAAGGAGGCTTGTGGGTACCTTGAGGCCGCGGATGGAGGCGTGATGTGCGTCGCTCTTCAGCATGACCTGGATGTCCTGGACCGTCTCCTCCCCCGCGGGCCGGGGACGGGTCACCTCGTCGGCCACCTCCTTCGCGGCTTCCTCCAGCTGTAAAACAGACCAACCCGTTAAAAAGAGGAGAGTAATCGCAGAAACGAAAGCTGCGTGAAACTAGCTCACCGGGGGCGCAAACGTGACATCTACAGACGGGAAGCAAGTTTTTTTGTTTTGTTTCGTCACTTTGAACTCACCATCGGCAGGTTCTCGGAGGGCGCCTTGTAGAGACAGTCTGACAGGTCCTCGTCAAAGCTGGCAAGGTCCTCCATCTCCACCTCCACCCAGTACTCCCCCAGGGTGTAGCGCCTCTTCAGGTCATCTCTGATTTAGAAGAAACAAAAAGGGGGGTTTTGAAAAAGAAGTAAATCCAAGAACCTTACTCGTGTTAATTAGACAAACCTGCTAAAGCCAACACAGAATTAGCCTTTTCCTATCTGCAGCATGATAATGACAGATTGTCCGGCTTTTGTTAGTTGATTCACTGCTGCATTTATTCAAATGTGGAGACTCATATGAGACGGATTGAAATACTTTAACGTTTGCACTTTAATACAGGTCAAGCTCCACAAATGTTGACATTTCCCACAATTCTCTGCTTCCTTCTACTGCTGTCCGCTGCCTTTACCTCCACAGTGCAACTTTGTAAAGCAGGCTCTGCAGGACCTTGATGACATCATCAGGGTAATGAGCAGTAGCCCTCATGATGAACACATTTCAGACGTTAATTGGTTGACTCTACCTTTAATATTGGGGTCTGCTTCATTAAGGTTAATCCAGGAAGTGTATTTAGCCTAATGGTACATATCATTTTTCGTATTGTTATTAGAGTAGCTATTAATTCATCCGCCTCTCCACCTAAATATCCGTCACCCAGTCCTTCTCCTGTCATCATGAGCTCACCTGTATTTATAGGTGAAGCCCGTGCGGTCGGTCCCCACTCGGAACTGTCGGAGGAACTCACGGAACCGTTTCTTGATCTGGATCTTCTTCAGTCCGCCTTCATCCCCCCCGTGTCCATCTCCACCTCCGAAACTGTCGCTGTAGTACACTCCCGGGTCGTCAAAGCCAGACATACTGAAACCAGGTCGGCGAACTAAAGCTGGTACCGTGGACTAGTTTTTTCTTAATTAAAAGAAGAAAAAACAAGATGGATGTAAACGGCCAGAGACGACGCTGATCAGTTTGCGTGTTCCGCGGGTAAAAACTACTGAAACTCCTTCCTGTCTGTTTCCCGCGCCTCGCGTCTAGCAACGCCCCTCTGCTGTCCTCTGATTGGATGGAAGCCGTTATGACCTGTCGTCATTGGTCAAAGCGGCTTTGCGGAGGGGTGTCTTCTATGGAAAGGCGGGGTTTGTGAGGACTGGTGGCGCGAAAAAGACACCAGGAGGAGGAGGAGCAGGAAGAAGCATGTGCTGAAGAAATGTGCCACAAAGAAGAATGAATACAACATTAAAGAGCGATCACAGATGGACAAAAACACACATTTGTTTACCACCATTAATAAGTGTAACACTGTTTCATAAGGGAGCTACTTTTAACAGGATTTAGAGTAATCTGTATTAAATGAGGATAGTTTCAGTAAAATAACATACACCTTTGCCAGTTATAGAGGCTTATTTTTTCTTATGTGAATGACAGATGGTGTGATTATAGCTACAGACGATCAGTAAGACATTATACAAAGCTTTCCTGTAAGACCAATGTCTCAAGATTTCTCTAAATAAAATGTAACCCCCTCCACACGTTTTCTTACACTACTATATGAACGTGAACTGAGAAGATGATGGAAGATATAAGGTACTTTAACTGTTGATCTAACTTTGTGAAGATTTTTATGTTTATTTACTGCACTGACCTTTGCACATTCAAATCTCAAATCAAAACCCACCTGTTCAAAACTGCTTTTAATGTGACCACTATTGTGTATTTTATGTTTTTAGTGTATTGCTTTTATATATGATGATTTTAATGTAAAGTGTCTGAGTTTTATGAAAAGCGCTATATAAATAAAATGTATTATTATTATTATTTTGCATATTGGACCAAGTCCACATACGATATTTAAATAAATCCTGAATCTTAATATTTTTCCTATAAAAAAAAAGTTAAGACTGTTTTCTGCTTCACTGGGATGTCTATTCCTAGTTTATATACGCTGGAGGATTCAAAAGTCGAGATTGATTGAAACCTGTGAAATCATGAACTGAGATTTAAGGTGAGCAAAGAGGAACATCTCTTGAGGAAGTGGCTCTCATGTGTTGTGATGCAGCATATGACCTTTGGGTGCTTTGACATTAATGAAGCCCATAATGTTCAATTTCCTAATTGTTGGGGATAAACAAAAAATAACAACATATATACTCCCTATACTCCTAAAATCTTGTTCTCACTGGTAACTATAAACAAAGAGCTCTTTTCTGGTTTTAAAGGATGAGAAGAACATTGATTCTAATAAATGCCGATAATGCAAGTTCATATATATATATATAGAGCATTCCCAAATGTGTCATTATCCTCATGATTATTAAATCCACAATCAGTTGAACAGATGACAACCCTAAATAAACCCGTCTATTGATAAGAAATACAAGCATTAGTTTTTCTTAAAATGCAAACACCTGCACACGTCAGGAAAAGTGCTTTATTCAGCGAAGCAAACAAAACAATAACATTAACATCTGTTGACCTATAAATGTAACTAATATTTCCATCGACATCAATCATAGGTCTCGAGTAACAGGCAGCGCAATCGGGCAAGAGCGAGCGCTTCGACGTTGCTCAGTGATTCACACTGGTTGCTGGATCCTTCTGGTTCCTGGACCCTTCTAGTTCCTGGACCCTTCTGGTTCCTGCGTGTTCAGGAGACGACTCCGTGCTTCCTGCCCGTCTGGATGAAGGCCTCCACACAGTGGTCGATGTCTTCGTCCGTGTGGGCGGCTGAAATCTGAACGCGGATCCTGGCCTTGCCCTTCGGTACGACGGGGAAGGAGAATCCGATCACATAGACTCCTGTGGAGGAGAGAGAGACGCGTTAACAATGAGGACGTAATGTAGAGTACAGCTGAATAAAAAGGCCCAGGTGTAAATACTGCAACGTTTTATAATGTATTTCTAAATTAAACAGGTTCAGGGGCTGTATTCATGAAGCATCCAAGAACAAAGAGGTGCTCCCGGTGAAGGAATTGTCAGAAAATTCTTTTCTATTAATTTCCCCCTTTTACAGTTAAGACAAGATCCCGGTGAAGATACATGTTTACAAAGCATCTCAGTCTTTAGGAGAGCTCCTAAAGTGGAAAACTGTTGGAGTAGGGAGGAGGACTGTTAAGAGGCTAAAGAGTTTCTTAAGCGGAGAAGAAGATGGTGGAAAGACAAAGAGGGAGAAGAAATATGAATATAAGGTGAATGACAGTGAGTTCATGAAAGCAAACAAATTGTTGGTGGTGAATCTCACTAGAGATGCGCTCACATCTCCCACCCGACGCTGTAACGGCAGAAGTGACAAGTTATTGCGGCACGAAGATATTTGGCAACTGGAGTATTGCAACACTGGTTTATAGAGTCACATGCTGACCAACTGTGCAGACTGGCCAGCAATCACAGAAACGGACGAAATCCGAGCCGTTAACATCAAATAGATTAAGTACTAAAATGACTCATGGTAAATAAACATATTCAAACTATAGCTATCAGTACATGAAGAGGCTACTGCACAAGCAGGCCTGTGTTTTGTAGGCTACTTTTAAGGTACGGCTTTCAACTGGGAGCAACTCTTTGGTCGAGGAAGCTTGAATGAATGCGGTCCAGCGGTTTGCGCTGCTGCCTCACCGAGCTTCAGCATGTCGTCGGCCATCATGGAGGCCAGCCGAGCGTCGCCCAGCATCACGGGACAGATCGGGTGAGCCGAGCCCGAGATGGTGAAGCCAGCCTGCGTCATCTTGTTCCTGAACCTGGATGGACAGCGAAAAGAAAAAAAATATATATTATAGTCAGGATTACAGACGCATAGCAGTGACAACATGAATGCACCAATCGCGACACGCTTTCTTCCAAACAGTGAAAGTTTTTGAAAAAAAGAGGAATATCTCCAATGTGTTTGGGCAACAAAAGGTCACAAAGTCTGGCTGTATTACCTCATGGTTTTGGCCGTCATGCTTTGCGAAATCTCGCTGGAGGCGAGCAGCAGCTCTACAGCCCGGATGGCACAACCCACCACGGGAGGGGGGAGGGAGTTGGAGAACAGGTACGGCCGCGAGCGCTGCCTCAGCAGGTCGATGAGGGGCTTGGGGCCGACTGTGTAGCCACCTGAGGGACAAAAACAAACATAAGACGGAGAATAGAACATTTATATCTGGTGTATTAGCACCATGACGTGCTTTGTTGAAGGAATAAGCTCGACATTTTTGGGAAATGTACTTGTTTGTAGAGTGAGATGTTAAGATAGATACACGTCTCCTGTATGTATGATAAATATAAGGTGACATCTAGGAGGCGTTTAGCTTAGCATAAAGACTCAGGGAAACAGCTAGCCTGGCTCTGTTTGACATGATGCAGCTGACCATTTCTTAAAAATGAGCAGTAACTTCCTGGAGTCTCTGCTGGTCGCCTGGCAACCAGTCCCACAAGCCCCATAAAACCCTAAATTATTGTTTATAGGCTCCGGATTTTGGCAAATTAAACACACTAAATATGAGGTGTCGATGAGTGAACTCTAGCGGTGCTGGTCGGCTGATTTGTTACCTTAAGACAGAGCATGGCTGGCTGTTTCCAGCCTCTATGCTAAGCTAACAGTCTCCTAGCTGCGCTCTTTAACAGACAGACATGAGAGTGGTTTCAATATATCTAAACTAGGACTACCGCCTCCAGGTTGCCTGCCTCCGGCAACCGGTCACGTTGCAGTTTGTCGGTCCAAAATGTCATCACTTCATCATTTTTATCCTTTTATTAGACATTTGTGTGTCATAATTAGCGTATGAATTCTCGACTTATGGTCCAAATACCGTGCAGCGAGGTCACAGTGACCTTTGACCACCAAATTCTAAACAGTTCATCCTGGAGTCCAGGTGGATGTTTGTGTCTGATGTAATAACATTTCCTCAAGGTGTTCCTGAGAAAACACGTTCACCAGAATGGGACGGACGGACAACTCCTAAAAACGCACAAAAATTCAGCTCCAATCCTCAACACTTTCTATACTAAAAATGCAGCAATAAACACGCAGAACTCATCAAAGTCACAGGTCAGACGAAGACGTACCAGCTGCTCCTCCCAGTGCTTTCCCCAGGGTGGAGTTAACTATGTCAACTCTGTCCATCACTCCCAGGAGCTCGTCCGTTCCTCTGCAGATCACAGGGAGGAGTACCGTTAGTTCACAACGATGGCAGGATATGGAGCTAGACTTGTTTTTCTACAAACTAAATTTCATACTAATGCGGTAAGTTGAAGGTTGTAATCACAAATGTCTACACATGAAGATGGCATACAGAAAGTAGCAACGCTAACGACCATAACCCTCTCTCTTATCTGCCTCCTACTTTGTCATATTATCACCGTAATCCATATTTAACATCCATGATATGATTTTCTCATATAAAACACGTGATATTATTGTATCAGGTGCTATTTAAAGAGACAGTATATCGATGAGGTCATACTAACATGCTGAAATAAAGCAGTATTATTTCATCAGGATCTTACCCACCTGCCTCGGGGCCCCAGGAATCCGGTGGCGTGGCATTCGTCTATGAACACCATGGCTCCGTACTGCTCAGCCAGGTCACAGATCTCTGACAGCGGCGCCACGTCTCCATCCATAGAGAAGACTCCATCGGTCACTACCAGGCGCATGCGAGACGCCTGAGGAGGACAAAACAGAGTCGGAACACAGTCTGACTAATACTGTAGCCCTAATCTGACCCGGTCACCTCAGGAATATGGGTTTAATGTTTAGTGCCAGCATATTTGATCAACTGCAGGTCGGGTTATTAACGTAACATTAGCTTCATGTGTTGGTTGAAAAGGCCTGCCTGAGCTGGAGGCAGCTGCAGGTGGATTCTAGAGCCACTCTAAAAGGAGTTATGTCGCCCTCTGGTGAGGGTTTGCATGCAAAGCCCAGTGAAAGAATACATGTCCAGTGAATGTTTGATGGAAATATACCATGTCAGTGCACATGACACTTAGCAGTTCCATTCAATAAAAATCAAACTCTATTATTTGACTTATGTTTCTATTAAGTTTCAGCAATGTACTATGTCGCAAATCATGATTTATAACCATATCTATTCAAAAACGCTGTTCTGTTCAGTTAATGCAGTCAATAATTATGACAATTACATCCATTTACATTTTTCTGCAGGATAAAATAATGAATGGTTATCTTCTGCTTCTTTTTAAAAACGTTTTTTTATATTTCCTCACATTAATCCTGAAAGACATGATAATACCATCCCACCCCATTCGCATAACTGTTGGCTCTGCAATTAAATAGCTCTCTCTCTCTCTCTACATACATGGCTACATACATGATGTAATGCTAAAGGAGGCTCACGCTAACACTAAAAAGTCATTCTAGCAAATAAATAAAGAACACTGTCAACAGTTTTATGAAAGAAATAGTCCCTGATAACCACTGGCATGTTTGAATATTTGACGATACCTCTGTACAGGATGGAGAACAGGACTCTTATCATGGTAAAATATTAAGTTCCACACACACACCTGAGACTCTTTGAGCTGTTTCTCCAGATCGCCGAGGTCCATGTGTTTGTAGCGCAGCCTCTTTGCCCGACACAGTCGGATCCCGTCGATGATGGAGGCATGGTTCAGCTCATCAGACAGCACTGCGTCATCCGGGCCCAGCAGAACCTGCATGTGTGTGTGAGAGTAATAGGATACTTCACCGATCACAACATAAGGGGTCTTCCTCATAAAGCACGACACAACTCATAAAGCATAACACACCTCAAACAGTCCGGCGTTTGCATCAAAACAGCTGGCGTAGAGGATGCAGTCCTCCCTCTCATGAAACTCCGCCAGCTTCTGCTCCAGATCTTTGTGTAGATCCTGTGAACACAGAGCGTGAGATTTACAGCCGCGTTAATGTTGTTCATGTTCTCCACATTGTTTATGTTCTCCCCCATTGTTAATGTGCTGATTAGGTGTCGTACCTGCGTGCCACAGATGAATCGGACAGAGCTCAATCCAGCACCGTGTGTCTTCAGAGCATCAATCCCTGCCTGCACCACCTCCGGGTGACTGGACAGTCCAAGGTAGTTATTGGCGCAGAAGTTCAATATGCCTGAGTAGAAAGACGGAGAGGGTTTAGATGGAGAGCAGGAAAGGTCCCCTCTGTGAAAATTCAGATCAGTAAAACAACAACGACCCCAGAGGGCAACTCAAAGCCTGCAGTAGAATAAAACCTGTCTGCGTTTGGTTTTGTTTATTTGCACAAAAGGAAAGTGACAACAAAGCCAGCGTACCAGAACAAAGAGTGAGAAACGAAATCAATGCATGGGACTCGTGGCGTTAGCATCCAGATGGATTGAACAAAGTCAGTTCACACATGTGGGGTCCTGGCTTTAATCATAAATCAGCTGAGTACATTTTAGGGGCAAATCCTGAAGTGTAAACACTGGCAGAACAGAATAGAGATCAGCTGCTATGGAAGTTAAGATCACAACGGCTTGTTGTTACAAGCCACTTTTCATATCTTTGATTGCAGAATTGTTCTAACTTATTTGAGATCAGATTGAATCATGTTGTTGTGGATTTTAGCTGCTATATCTGTTTGTACCGCGTGGTGCGTTTGAGGACAACTGGGTCACATTGCCACCGCGTTACATATGTATGTACCGTTACTTATGTAAACTACTACCACTCACTGCTACGGCTGCCGTCCACGTTGATTTGGGGTCCCTGCTTTGACGTGATGATCCTCTCTGCTTTCCACGTCCCCGCGGATCGGATTCCGTCGAGCTCGCCCTGCAGCACCACTCGGGCTTCGGCGACAGCGGAGTAGCTCCGGTTCACAGCCGAGGCCGAGGGCCGCAGGGCGACCCGGACCGGTTTCGCAAAACTCCGGGCGACTTTTCCGAGAGACATGATCGAGTGGAGCCGTGTGTGTGTTCGAGGTGTCTAACGTGCAGGAAGGCAGAACGGTGGAGAACCGGAGGCGAAACGTGGCCGCGTCAAGTTACAGAGGTAGGCGTACGTGCGGCGGGCCAATCAGAGGCCAGGACACTTGCGAGGGTGTATTTTTCTGTCCAATCAGATTTCAGAGAGCAGCAACGTGTTGCCTAATGTGAACTGCTGTGTTTGCCTTCTTTTCTTTTATCAAGACAACTTCACCTCTCAACTAATTGTAAAACAAAACCCACACAGTGTTATGTAATATCAACTGCAGTGTGATTGTGTATAGAAGCTATACAATCACAGTAGTTTAACATCGGATTGTACCAGCCACAGACGGGAATTTAAAAAAAAAAAAAAAAAAAGGTGTACACTTGCCCCAAACCTGCACGTTAACATTAGAATAAGAACAGCCAGTTAATAGTTTAAGTTTAATAAGACAACAGTTTGTCATGACTTCAAGTAAAACATCTTCACAAGGGAACGTTGGATGTAAAAAAAACAAAAAACCTTGACATCCTACATCAATAATGATGTGAAGCATCAAATTATTACACTATGTAACAGCCAAGCATTATCTTACATACAAGCTAACAGTGTTTGCTACTTAGACAGAGGCGCTTTCTGTAACCCATCATCATCAT